AAAAAAAAAAAAAAAACATCAGCTCTTGATACTACTTGGATTCAAACGAAATCAACTTTATTCGACCCATTTGTGGCCCGAAAAAGAATTTATTGTTTGATTTTTTTCTGGGCTTTGTTAATAAAACAATGGGATGCGAATGTTTGGGCTTAAGTTATAAGAAAAATAATGGGTTGTGGCTTATTTAAAATATTCTCTTACTAAATTTTTTGTTGAGCTACATCAAGAAATCAGATTGAGCTTCAAAAAATTATGGACATTGTATATAAAGAAGTGTTTACTTATATTTGAATTTTCTTCTTAAATTTTTTTTTCAATGATTATGTTAGTAGTTTTTACTATTGTTTATATTTTTTATCATATAGTTTTTCGTGCAAATGCACGGGTAACAACTAGTATTTTAAAAAAATTGAACACCTTACCAAATTTTCGGCTAAAAGATTTACCAAAATTCTTAAAATTTATTATGGGCATGTGGGTTGTAGAATATTATTTATATTAGTAAGTTAATACTTTATTTTTAAGCCAAATTTACTATTTATATATTTTCCAACAATTTTTTATATTATTATAGATTATAGATATAGATGTTGTTGTCATCCCATCACATAAGTGATCGATAAATCAATTGGTAAATAAATTTTAGAAATTTGATTAATTCATCATCGTACAAACAATATACATCAAAGTACATTCCTATTTTGTTCAAATTAATTTCATAATCATTCTATTTAGACAGGTAAATCGATATGACAAATTTGATTAATTCATCATCATATTTATCACACAACCAATATACATCCAAAGTACATTCCTATTTTGTTCAAACTAGTTTCATAATCATTTCGCTAGAAATGTAAGCTTAACAAAATCAAAGTCTTCCATCACGTTTAAGGCTGCAAACGAGTCGAGCAGAGTCGAGCATTGACCTTATCGAGCAGAATTGATAATTTTTTTTAGCTGCTCGAGTTCGAGCTCGAGCTCGAATCGAAATCAAAATGCTCGAGCTCGGCTCAAGTTCGGTTCGAAAATATTTAAGTGGAAAGATAAAATTACCATTAAGAGTCTATGCTAACATATATATAAGAGTTATTTTAGTAATTTAACATATATCTCGAGCCGCTCGACAAGACAAAATATGGGGCTAGAGCTCGAATTGAGTTCGTCCTTGAGCCGCTCGAGCTCCACTCGAATTTGGTCAAACTTGAGCTCGAGTCGAGTTTTGATACCAGCGCTTGCGTGCAACTCGCGAGCTTTGCGGCCCTAATCACGCCACAATAAGCACCCTTAAAATAACTAAGAAAAAAATAGGGAAAATGTGTGAGAATAAAGATGCATGATTTGTTGAAAAGGAAGTTTGCATTTACATTTACCCAACACACTGCCTCAAATCAATCTAATTCTTAACTCAATTGCAAAAGTAGGAAATGAGAAAACAGTGAGAAAAGAAAAAAATAAAAATAAAACAAAATGAGTGGACAGGTGTCGGCTGCATATCTCCATCTATCATCCCCACTTTCTTTTTCTATTCACTTTTTAATTATATTTTAAATAAACAAACAAACACAACACAAGTGAAGAGAATAAAAAAAAAAAACACTATTTCTTTCTACCAAATCCCCTCTCCGTAACGACGCCGCTTGCTCCCATCAGATCACCGTACGCAGCCACCGATGGGCAAAGGCGAAGCGCTCTCCGATGGGGTGGTGAAGAACATCATCCTTTCCTACACCTACGTCGCCATCTGGATCTTCCTCTCCTTCGCCGTCATCGTCTACAACAAGTACATCCTCGACCGCAAGCTCTATAACTGGCCTTTCCCCATCTCACTCACCATGATCCACATGGCCTTCTGCTCCTCCCTTGCCTTCGCCGCCGTCCGCATCTTCAAGCTCGTCGAGCCCGCCGCTCTCACCCGCCGCGTCTACCTCACCTCCGTCCTCCCCATCGGCGCCCTCTACTCCATGTCCCTCTGGCTCTCCAACTCCGCCTACATCTACCTCTCCGTCTCCTTCATCCAGATGCTCAAAGCCCTCATGCCCGTCGCCGTTTATTCCATCGGGATCCTCTTCAAAAAGGACAGCTACAAAGGCAGCACTATGTCCAACATGCTCGCGATTTCTTTTGGGGTCGCCATCGCTGCTTATGGAGAGGCCAAGTACGATTCTTGGGGGGTCCTTCTGCAGCTTGGCGCTGTTGTTTTCGAGGCGACGAGGCTGGTGTTGATTCAGATCTTGTTGACCTCAAAAGGGATTAGCTTAAACCCCATCACCTCTCTTTACTATGTCGCCCCTAGCTGTTTGGCCTTTCTTTCGGTTCCGTGGCTGTTGGTGGAGTATCCAGTTTTGAAGCAGCACTTTTATGGATTTCATTGCGATTTTTTGATCTTTGGGACTAATTCATTGTGTGCCTTCGCCTTGAATTTGGCTGTGTTCTTGTTGGTTGGAAAGACTTCGGCTTTGACCATGAATGTAGCTGGTGTGGTGAAAGACTGGCTGTTGATTGCTTTCTCTTGGTCCGTGATTAAGGACACCGTGACGCCGCTGAATTTGTTTGGATACGGGTTGGCGTTTTTGGGAGTGGGGTATTATAACCACTCGAAATTGCAGGCTCTGAAGGCGAATGAGGCACAGAAAAAGGCACAAATGGCAGAGGAAGAAGAGCTGTTGGGCGAGGGGAACAGAGATGGGAATGAGAAGAAGGGAGAGTCACAGGCCTAATTGGGGAGTTGTTGTTCAGAAGAAATTAATAAGCTTTGAGGTTTTCTTGCGTGGGTCTGGATTAGCTCTTCTCTATTGGATCTAGACTAGATTTTAGGGTTAAGTCATGTTGTCATGGGTGCTGCTGGGCCTATAGCAAGCACATTTCGTCTTTTCATGGCACTGATTTTCGTACTGCCATTGATGCAAAGATCGGTTTTTTATTATATTATATTATATACTTCATTACAGAGTTTTTCCATTTGCTTCTGCAGTTTGAGAAAGATGTGTTTTGTTGTCAAGGGTGTTGTTGATTTCTAGTACTATATTTTTCCCTGGTACGACGGACAGGCTGCTTTTACCTTTCTTCTAAACATTTATGGATGAGTGATACTGCATTGACTTTGTCACTTTTACCTTGATTTCTGTGATCTATTTAAAGCTGGTAGGTATTGTTTTCTTTCTTTATGTTTTTGTTCAAGAATTATTATAGGATGTGACTGTACGTTCAGATGGGCGGTGATGTGTTTGAGCTCATTTCATTAGGATTCAAATTAGGTGCTTTTCACTCCAAGATTGGGTGGGGTAACATAGTAGGTAAAATCTCAATTTTTATTAATTTTTTTTTTACCTCAATTTTTTTTTTTTAATCAGCTGGCAGTGAAAGTTGTTTTAGTACAGTTTCATCCCGAAAACCACTTAAATATAGCTAGTCACGAAAAAACACACATTGCTCTAGGTGCTGAAATTTGCAAAATCAACATAATCTGTTACCAAATAACGTCTAGCAAAATCCATCCATAAAAACCGGCAGCAAATAAAATACATGGCAGTGTGTGTTGCATCATCATCAGAAATGAAATGGTCCCTAGCTAAATACTGCAGTAAGATACTCATAGCACCAAGTAATATGAAGGGTGACAATCCATCAGCCAAATCCCCCAAATCCTTCTACTTCCAAATGCGAAATTCAGATCAAGAAAATATATAACTCAAATTACCAGTGGCTGCACCGATTGTAGGGACAAGTTCTTGTTGCTTTCAAGCAACGACCAACCTAAGATGGCACTGCACACATGTGAAACGATTATTGTTAGCTAACAAACTCCTCGAGAAGAATAGTGTATACATGCAATCTCTATAAATGCTAAAGATTGCGCAAAAACCATTGACGACCCAATTTCCATTTACCATAAGCCGATACACAGACATACAACAGAAATGTGGTGTTATTATAATCATAGCAATCATATATACCAACAGATGTAGATATAGTAGGATATCCTAAGGATATATAACACACGAAAAGACCCAGACATATATCCTGCAAAAAAAGTTAGTTATACGTGCATCTCCACATGCTTATAAAGAAGTGAGCCATAGGGCATGACATGGTGGTGAAAAGCATACAGAGTAAAACTTACTGTATGTAGACGTGTCAATCTGCTCGGGAAGTTCTTTAATATCAACTTCAAACCTCTCCTGGACCTGATTGAGGACATCCGAATCAGAAGCAGAAGAAACAAATGTGATGGCAAGTCCCTTGGTGCCGAATCTCCCAGCTCTGCCCACCTGGCACATGGCACCAATTACGCAGAAAATCAGAACTAAATAACTAAATCACCCCTCTCCCCACCCAAAAAAAAAAAAAAAAAAAAAAAAAAAAAAAAGAAAAAAGAAAAAAGAAAAAGAGAAAACATTTCATACTCGGTGCAGGTATGTGTCTGCAGAATCTGGCATATCATAGTTAATCACGATGTTCACTCGTTCTATGTCAATTCCTCTTCCAACCAAATCTGTTGCCACAAGAATCCTCTTATGCCCCTCCTTGAACCCCTTGTACCGCGTCAATCTGCCATCCACAATTTTAGATCAGAAATTATCCAGGCATATCAACCACAAGTAAATATTCCATCTATGCATGCTAGAAAATAGAAACTATTGTGCCTTCATTTGATCACATAAAAAACTTGCACAACTACAAGATTTTAATAACTTGCGACTTGTCAGTGAACCTTATCTGATTTAAGGATTTATTTATTCATTAAGAACATAGGAAAAAGACAACATCCTCGAAACATTACAGCTCCAAAGCAATACTCACCTTTCTTCTTGGGACATTCCAGAGTGAATGCAAATGGATGGAAAATTGCACTCCACAAGCAACTTGTTCAGCTCGGAAGCTCTGCTGACACTTTTGACAAAGATGACAACTTGGTTGAAGTCCAGTGCATCAAGCAGATCATTCAGCTTGCGATTTTTCTCCAGCTCACTCAGTTTGATATAGTGCTGTCAAGAAGAGGATGTCCATTGAGGAAAAGTGCAACTATTGAACCAAACAAAACCATTCATATAGCATCAAACCTGTACAAGACCATGAAGGGTCAACTTTGCCTCGTCGTCCACGTATATCTCCATAGGCTGAAATGAAGAATGTCACAGTAAAGCATATATTAGAGGCCCATGACACGCTGACTGTATCAACTATGAAATGAATTGATGGATGACCATGGCTCTTATTGAGGTTCTGATCCATCCAAGTCAACTCCTTGCAGTGACTTTATCACTCAAACCAACTAGTGTCACCTTGCTGCTCAAAGCAATCCTACATATCCGTGATTTGAACAGCCTATGTTCCCCTCGAACACTCCTACTCCGTTTTTTTTTTTATATATAAAAATAAAGAAACAAAAAATCAAAGCTGAGGAAAGACCTAAACCACACAAAAATAGCAAAATCAGGCACCAGCTATAGACCTTGCTGACTCAATGCCCCCACCTCTACCAAACCCTTCCAAAGAAGCATCAGATATTAGATGGGCATATAAAACATATAACATGGCAAGAACGAAGTGCTTCAACCACCAAATTCTTGACAAAAATGTAGATTGAAGAATGCTTGACTAAGGAAATACAGCGGACTTCAACACTCAATTAGGATTGACCACAGGACATTACATCTTGCATGAATTTCTTGCAGACGGGTCGAATTTCCTTGCTGAGAGTAGCCGAAAACATCATAACCTGCTTTTCATGAGGTGTCATTTTGAAAATCTCCTGCACGTCTCTCCTCATATCTGGGATAAACATAAAAATGACCCGATAACTACTAACATTTCCATGCTGCAAAGATGGTCAGGACATCATATGATGGCATATCAAAGTAAGTTACGCGGCCATGCATACCAAGAGACTCGAGCATCTTGTCGCATTCATCCAGAATGAAATGTCTCACATTTCTTAAGGAAAGTTCCTTGTCTCTAGCTAGAGCAAGTATCCTTCCTGGGGTTCCCACAACAATGTGTGGGCATTCATTCTTCAGAAGATCTTTATGGATTTTGATGTTGACACCACCATAAAAAACAGCAACCTTGACATCAGTAAGATAAGTGCTGAATCGCTGGAATTCGTGACATATCTGCAAATTAAGCAACAAAAAAATGACGAGTTAAACTAAACAGCAATTAACACAAGCAGCACTTTATAGGCTACGAAAGATGCAAAAAGGCTAGATGTATACCTGATAAGCCAGTTCCCTAGTATGGCACAGAACAAGTGCCGCAACTTGACCTGAAACGGGTTCAATCTGCTGCAAAGTCGAAAGAACAAACACAGCAGTTTTCCCCATACCAGACTTGGCTTGGCAAATTACATCCATCCCAAGAATTGCTTGAGGAATGCACTCGTGTTGAACTGATGAAGAACCAAAGAAATTTGATCCATGGAAGCCTCAGTTTCAAATAAAAAAGAATCTACCATTCAACTTCTACAAGGTAGAGTGATAGTAGTGATTTACCTGTGGAAGAACACCAAGTCGTAAGTCACCATACCACATAGGATAATTAACTTAAGAAAACAAAGAACATAACGGAAGAATAATATGCATAGGATGATTCTTGCCATATATATATATATATATATATTTTTTATTTCTCTAGGATAACAGTGACAACAAAGCTAGAAACAAAACAATGCTAATGCAGAACTCTTTAGCCTGGTGACAAGAACCAAAAGGAAAATTTATGATCTTTAAATAACTCAGAAACTCATAAAGGGCTCTGCAAATTGGGTGCAGAATAAGTATATTTGTGATAATTGTAAAAATTGAAAATTTTCAGGCCATATAATCCAACATCTCATTCTATAAAGTTAATTGAAACAAAGATAAACCACGCCTATATGTTCTAAGAATGTGCAGATATCACTTTCTAAAATTTTATGCAACTATAAAACAGATGGAGTATCTTGCCTTCTGATGGATGTTCAAACCCTGAATCAACAATAGCCCTCAAGAGTTCTGGCTTCAACAGGAAATCCCTGAATCCAGAGCTGTGAATCCCTACATATCCCCTGTTGAAAAAAAAGGTACAGAATACTTCAAGTGATCCCCGAAAAAGTAATAGAAAAATAGATAAAAGAGAGTGTGTGTAACAAAGACTCCCACACAAACAACCAATCCCTACAATAAAGCAGGTGATGTAGGAAGCGTACGATGGGATTTGTGATAACAGAGAAAACTCTCAAATACTGTATTATTTCATAAGCAATCATTCGTTCAATGACAAAGAGAAAGAGCCTTATATGCTCGACACTTAACGACCTAACAATAAATCTTAAAAGCCCAATAACACAAGCCCAACAATACTAAATAAAAGAAACATAAAATATTAATGATAAATAGAATAGTGATCAAACGAGGGGTCGGAGACGATCATGTTTGTCGAGGAACACCAAAGCACTCTCGTCGGCATCATTCTCCCCCGGCTGGAGAGGATTCACCCTCGAATCCGAAGCACTCTCGTCGTCAGAATTGTCCCCGCGAAAAGGCACCAAGTGTTTGACGTTAAAGACATCGGAGGTACGCACATGGGACGGAAGACGAAGGTGGTAGGCATTCGGATTAATTTTCTCAACGATCTCCACAGGCCCAATTTTTCGGGCTGCTAGCTTATTGTACTCGTGGGCCGGAAAACGGTCCTTCGTGAGGATAGCCCACACGAAATCGCCAACGTCAAACTCCAAGTGCCGCCGGTGCGCGTCCGCACGTCGCTTGTAGGCGGCCGTCGTAGCCTCGAGATTCGCACGGACATCAGCGTGAATGCGCCCCACCTCTTCAATCATGTCCACGGCCCGCTTATCCTCTAGCCCGGAAAATGGTAATGCAATTAAATCCGCCGGACCACGAGGCACCATGCCGTACACAACCTGGAAAGGGCTGAGTCGAGTGGCTCGGCTGACCGCCGAATTGTGCGCGAATTCGGCCTGGCTAAGCCGAAGATCCCACGAACGCAAGTTATCCCCAACGAGGCAACGAAGCAAGTTCCCTAAAGAGCGGTTGACGACCTCAGTCTGGCCGTCCGTCTGAGGGTGATAAGCACTGCTAAAGTCGAGCCTGGTGTTCGCTTGGCGCCACAAACTACGCCAAAAGAAACTGAGGAAGCGTGTATCGCGGTCGGAGACAATGGACGTGGGAAGACCATGCAGGCGATAGATCTCGCGAAAGAAAAGTTGAGCCACGTGCACGGCATCAGTTGAGCGCTTGCAGGGAACAAAATGGGCCATCTTGGAGAAGCGATCCACAATCACGAAAATGGAATCATGACCTCGCTGTGTACGTGGAAGCCCAAGGACAAAGTCCATGCTAATGGCACACCAAGGCTGCGAAGGTACCGGAAGAGGGCGATACAACCCAGCGTTCGAAGCAACCCCTTTCGAAACCTGACAGACCCTGCACCGCTCCACAAAACGCGAGACATCTCGCCGTAAAGTAGGCCAAAAGAATGTGCGCTGCACGAGCTCCACCGAACGATCACGACCGACATGTCCCGCTCCATGCAAATCCCCGATAAGTTTCAGCCGCAGGCTGCCATCCGGTACACACAAACGGACCCCTTTAAAAAGGAAACCTTCACGCACTATAAAATCATCAACTGGGCCCGAAGCTAAACGCGCAAGGATGGGGCCAAAGAAAGCATCAGAAGCATACTGATCACGTAATAAATCAAACCCAGTGACAGCAACTCGCATATCAGTCAAGATAAGAGAACGTCTACTCAAAGCATCAGCCACGCGATTTGATGTACCTGACCTATGCTTGAGGATAAAAGTGAACTGCTGCAAGAACGACGTCCAGGCTGCATGACGGGCAGAGATGTTGTCTTGAGACGAGATGAACCGTAACGCCTCATGATCAGAAAATAATACAAACTCACGATGAAACAAATAGTGTCTCCAATGTCGTACAGCACGCACGACGGCATAAAGCTCCACATCGTAAGTACTATAGCGCGTCCTCGGGCCTGACAACTTTTCGCTAAAGAAGGCCACCGGTCGCCCCTCCTGGCTAAGAACAGCCCCAATACCCACCTTCGATGCATCACAAGAAAGCTCGAAAGGTCGAGAGAAATCCGGGAGTACCAAGACCGGTGCGGAGGTCAGTTTCTGCTTAATGAGATCAAAAGCGGTAGCGGCCTGAGGTGTCCAGACAAACGACTTGCCCGTAAGGCAATCAGTAATCGGGGCTGTGATCGAACTGAAGTGGGCAATGAATCGGCGGTAAAAAGAAGCCAAGCCGTGGAAGCTACGAGCCTCTGTGAACGACGTCGGGGTCGGCCATTCACGAATAGCGGTCACTTTACTCTCATCCACACGAACACCATCGGCTGAAATAACGAAGCCCAGAAACAAAACCGAATCCACAAGAAAAGAACACTTGCTTGGGGACGCAAAAAAGGACTCAGCACGTAAAATGAGAAGTACCTCGCGAACGTGGCACAAATGCTCCGCGACAGACTGACTGTAGATGAGTATGTCATCGAAATAAACGACGACACACTTTCCGATGAGGTCACGTAAAGTCTGGTTCATCACTCGCATAAAAGTGCTAGGCGCATTCGATAAGCCGAAGGGCATAACCAACCACTCAAAGAGACCCTCACGAATCTTAAATGCTGTCTTCCATTCGTCTCCCGGTCGTATCCGAATCTGATGATATCCACTCCGGAGATCCAGCTTCGAGAACACAGTCGCACCGTGTAATTGGTCCAGCAAGTCATCCAACCGAGGAATAGGAAAACGGTAACGGACCGTTATCTTGTTGATCGCACGACTGTCCACACACATCCTCCAAGACTGATCTTTCTTCGGTATAAGAAGTGCCGGGACGGCACATGGACTGAGACTCCGACGGATGGATCCCCGCTGAAGCAACTCCTCAACTTGACGACGAAGCTCCTCGTGCTCCGCTGGGCTCATGCGATAGTGAGGGCGGTTGGGCAAAGAAGCACCCGGTACCAAATCAATGTGGTGCTGAATATCCCGTAAAGGAGGTAAGCCGCTCGGAAGCTCGTCTGGGAAGACATCTGCAAACTCCTGAAGTAACGGCTGGATCTCATGTGGCGGTGAACCACAAGTACTAGAGTCTGTACCGCAAACGAGAAGGACCATCGGTGCCTCGGGCAACTCACGGAGAAAAGCAGACTGTGAAAGAAGCAGCATAGAAGACGATGAAGGAGGCGGAACCGAGACTGGAGGTGTGGAGACTGGCTGTGGAGGTGAAGGGTGCAAGATAATGCGAACACCCTGAAAGAGAAAGCCATAAGTGTTCAGTCGGCCGTCGTGAACCACCTCCCGATCGAATTGCCACGGCCTACCTAATAGCAGGTGACAGGCGTCCATTGGAACAATATCACACCAGATCTCGTCTCGGTACGTCTGACCAACAGAAAAAGCTACCAACACTCGCCGATCCACTGTGACCGAGCTTCCTTTCTGAATCCAGGCTAATGTGTATGGCTGAGGATGGGGTTCGCTTGTCAAACGTAACCTCTCGACTGCTTCTGAGGCCACCACATTCTCGCATGCACCAGAGTCAATCATAAAGCGACAAACTCGACCCCCGATTGTGCAAGTGGACTCAAATAAGTTGTGACGTTGACCCGCACTTGCGTTGGTAACATGTGGAGATAAAAGAGACCTGCGAAGGACCAATGCGTGACCAACATCCCCCATGACGTGCTCCTCCGTAATCTCCGGGTCCTCATCAAAGATAGGAGGGCCGGTGTAGTCCTCCTGTTCATCTACTAAAAGGGCCCGCGAATTACTTGCCTTCGGACATTGGGCATGTCTATGCCCTGCTTCGCCACAACCAAAGCATCTCGGAGTGCCCTGTGAACGAGTGCCACCGCCTTGCGTGTTTCCAGCACCACGGCCGCCGAATGATGAACCGGTATGAGGCAGTCCGATAGTGGGACGTGAAGAAGCTGTCGGTGCTGGTGTTCCCGAGCTAGTTGGTGGAGGCCGTGAAGGTTGGAAAGTGGAAGTCGGTCGGCGAGCCTGTTGTTGTTCAACGAGTAGGGCGCGCTGGTGCGCCTCCGAAACGGTGTGTGTTGTAAAAAGATTGACCATGTCCTGGATAGAAACACGAAGGCCACCAACATAACGCGAAACCTTTTGTTTAGGTGTTTCACGAAGATCCAACCTCGCAAGAAGTTGATAAAACTCTTCAGTATATTCATTGACAGTGCGTTGTCCCTGTCGAAGGTGCTGTAATTTCTGGTACAGTGTTTGGACAAAATTGAATGGTAAAAACTCCTTTTCAAGGCACTTACGGAATTTGCTCCACGACTTAATCTGTGCTCTTCCCAGTTGATGCCGCTCGCTTTTCAATTGCAACCACCATGCACCTGCTCGACCACGAAGCCGAGTCGCCACAAGGTCAACACGTCTCTCGTCGGGTACACCTTTATAATTGAGAGCTGATTCTACGGCTGTTAACCAATCGAGAAATTCAGCCGCCTCCAATCCGCCGGCAAACTCCGGAATTTCCACACGAAAGGCTGATTCCCATTTGCTATCAGCCACAACATCAGCTTGTGCAAAATGGCGACGACCATTGAACCCACGACCAACATCAAATTCTGTGCCCCAGCCGTGTAGCAGGTCGTCATCCTCGCTGTCGGAATCGGAGTCCCCGCAGCGACCCCCACGCTGTCGACGACGAGTCTCCATCCCGCCGCCCGGTTCGCGTCGGAATTCCTGGTCTCCACAGCGATGGCAGCCGCGAATTAGGGTTTCACGATGATGATGGACCCTATGGCCCCGACCATCCTCCTGTTCACGCCGACGAGGGTACTCGCGGAATTCCTGCTGGTCTCGAACAAAACCCTCGGCAAAAGGATTGTCGTCCGACCATGTATCATCACTGCCGTCTTCAGGTGGTGGAAATGGCTGGCGGAACGCCTCTGCAAATCCACGACCACCACGGCCAGCCCTATGACCCCCGCGACCGCCTCGGGCTCCGGCGAAGTCACGATTCGCGTGCCTCTCCTGCACCATTGTAGCTAACGTGAGACGAATGTCTTCGATTCCCGCAGACAAATCTGCCACGCGATCGTCCATCGTTCCCATTCGATCGTCCAAACGATTGAAACGGTCGTCAATCTCGGCATCTCGTCGTTTCGGCGGCATCGAAAATCGTCCTGGTTAACTGATACCAGATGATGTAGGAAGCGTACGATGGGATTTGTGATAACAGAGAAAACTCTCAAATACTGTATTATTTCATAAGCAATCATTCGTTCAATGACAAAGAGAAAGAGCCTTATATGCTCGACACTTAACGACCTAACAATAAATCTTAAAAGCCCAATAACACAAGCCCAACAATACTAAATAAAAGAAACATAAAATATTAATGATAAATAGAATAGTGATCAAACGAGGGGTCGGAGACGATCATGTTTGTCGAGGAACACCAAAGCACTCTCGTCGGCATCAGCAGGGATCTATGAATCATATTGCGCAAAGCAAGCTAACAATAAGATAAGGTGCAGAATCCCACTAAAACTAATAACTCCCTTTTGTGAAACAAATAGGAACTTTATACACAGATTTTACCAGTAAATAAACCAGGTGATGAGACAAAAACAGTATAGTTTTGAACAAAGTGTTGGATAAAATTTCATGTGATTCAGCAATCTTATCTTTAACGCAATGGACCCCCTTTGCCTATTGTTGAATACTACTTCAAATTACAAGCAAAGGTTGAAATCAGGCAGATTGGGAATCCCTCCCTATCCCTCCCTATATATTAATTCAAAATGTGTTGAGCCTATGTGGCGGATTCTCATGCTTCGAATGCTGACATGGCAAAAATCTAAGCTTCGTGAATTTGTTTTATTATTATTTTTTGCTTTGGAGTTAGGTTTGGTATTAGACATAAATAACTTTACACATATATTCATTTACTCAACACCCATGTTGTACATGGGTATTAGTACTAGTTATGTATTTAAGTAAGAAGAAAGCCGAGATCCGCCGGAGAAACTCACTTCTTAACGGACTCGCCGTTGGCTTTAGTGTTGACGGAATCTGGGGCTTTTTCCTCTTCCTCCTCGTAGTCCAAAAGCTCCTCCTCATATGCATCGTTCTCTTTATTAGCGTCTCCCATTTTTACCTGTCGGAAACAGCATATCAGTTAACAAAATTTGATCTTTTCGTTGTTAACCTCTCAAACAGATTATAAACAAACAAACAAACAAAACATGAAAACATGGAAAGCAGCTCAAAAACCTCATTTTTAATTGAAAAATAAACGAGAAACCCATTTTTACCTCTTGAATACGATAGAGATGCCGAGGATAAGGTCCGAAAATAGAGGTTGCAGAAAAACTTATCAAAGAAACGATGAGGGTGAAAGTATGCCGTGGAGAGAGAGAGAGAGAGAGAGAGCAATAGGGTTCTGATTCGTTTGCGCATTTGATATGGTGAGGGGGAGGGTACCAAGTTGACTGATATGCCCTTGGAAAAACAAGATAATAACATGAGCCAGTTCATACTTCACTGTGTTTGCAACATATGACTAAGTTGGTAAGCCACAACTTCAAAACTATAACCGAAGTGGATTTTCTTTCCTTTCTCAGTCGTAAAGTTGAGACTTTTTAGTTGCATTTGAGTGTTATGTGGCATTTGTCACCACTGTAAATAACTTTCTACCGATGATATTATAGTATCAAGAGCTTTAACTTCATTTTAAGTTCGGATGCAGGAAGAACTGTATACATTTCTGCTGATCTTGCATACAACAAAAAGGTGACATCTTTCAAACAAATGAAGAAGATCGAGCAAGAAGAAAAGGTTCAATCCATTAAACTAGTGCTTTTTCTGTACAATGCACTACACTTTTTTGGACATAATGTGATCATTTCTTAGGAATTTAGACAAATATATGTGTGTAAATGGTACTTTCTGGTGTTATTCGGATGGGGCAAAAATCCAATCCAATACTTCATGAAAGTAAAAAAAGAAAGTACAAATAGTTCTAACAATATACACCAAAGCTGCTGCAGAAAAAACATCAGTATGTCCTTTTCTGGCACCACATAACATTTTGCAACTTGTCAGTAACATCCCATTATTAAAGTACAATCTAACGGGCAAAAGCAAATCTTTTCCTGTTTTTCACAACATCTGATCAGATATAGTTCTGTGGCACATCTGTTACAATCTAATTTACCCAAAAATCTAAAAGACCAAGCAACTGGAAGCCGGCTTTAACTCCACAATTCACCGAGCTACTTGGTTTACGACCGGACTAAACTTCCCAAAATCATCAAACTCAGTGCCTTGCACTGGCGGCAAAGAGAACATGCTAACGGTGGAGCTTCCCTTTCTAAGTTCCTTGAGAGTCCTCAAGGCCGAAACCGTTAGTCTTAAATACATGTTCTCCATGCATTCAATTTCTGAAAGCTCATCTGGAACTCTGAGTTTTTGAGCATCCTTCTCCACTGGCTGGTCACTGTAATTGTTTTCTCTTGGGCCCAACTGCTCGTGCCGTGAGAAGATGCGATTGATCATCATCTCACACTCCTTTACTAGTTTGTTCAGAACCTCGGTCCTGAAGAATGGCTCGTGCAGAACCTTCTGGATGAAAGGCAGTCGAATCAGGTCGCCACTTTTCTTATCATACTTCTTTAAAATCTTCAGTAGACCTGTTCAAGCAAAGGCCAAGAAAGCGTTCGATTTCTGGATTTGTTAACTGGTCCAAATTAGACACAATTTTAAGCACAACACAAACTAATCAGTGCACGGCAAACCAATTAATTCAATGAAAGAGCAAGGATGAAAATTGCTAAGTAGCAGGCCATCAATAGGAAAGTTCCTTTAGACAAACATCTGTTCAATTCAATGAAAGAGCAAGGATGAAAATTGCTAAGTAGCAGGCCATCAATAGGAAAGTTCCTTTAGACAAACATCTGTTCTTTCTGTTTGATCGACAGGGACAAACTACAAACATCACTCCCATCCTTTCTATTCAAAGCACGGGTAACGACACCTACTACAAGTTAAATGTTAAATTTTGTGCCGTACAGGCCGAGCAAAAATCAGGAGGGAACAACCTAAATGTTAAATTTTGTGCCGTACAGGCCGAGCAAAAATCAGGAAGGGAACAACCTATAAATTAATAGCAATTAAAAAAAAAAGAAAAAAAAAAGTTTTTATTGTGTTGCAACTCACATTTACCATAACCATATGGATAGTTTATTGTTATAGAGTAGAGACACCTGTATAGTTAAGAGCACTGTAATTCTCCAACAAGATCATCTCCCCGTGAAAATCTACGAGTTTCCTTCCTACTTTCATCAGCTGTTCTTTCGAATTATCAGCCTCAGCAATATCATCCCTCAGCAACTACATTCAACCAGAAAATAGAGACGCAATACAATAAGAACCAGAAAGAAAAACAAGAGAATGGTTGGTTAGCTAAATCACCTCAAGTGAATTTGTTAGTCAGGGTTGTGCCAGCCAATTTATAGCCAAATTACTGATATCTACACTATGACCAACGGACTCCTTATAACATTGTCAAATAGAGCGTCCACAAAAATAGCACTACACATTTCCTTTCATATCCCATAGTTAGCCCAGGATCTATCAACATCTCAAAGCTGATTAAACTTGCAGCTCAACAGACACATGCTGCAAAGCTACATTTCAACCTTCATATCCAAAACTGGATAGTAGAACTTTTAAGGTTTACAAATGTATTTAAGTTCACTACTCAATTAAAAAAAAAAAAAAAAAAAGGTATCACAGTAAACAAAGATTATTCTGCTTGAAAGCAGAATAATCTATTTCGCGACCAATTAACCAGCTTTTCAAATTATTAATATGCTAATCCTGCTCTAATACTCCGACCGCGTAAAGGGAAAATCGCAGGAAAGAAAATCCCAAACCTCAAAACTAACAAATGAGAAAAAAAAAAGGCACCTTTAATTTGATGATATACTCTTCCTCTTGATCCATGAAGAAGCCATTAAATTTCTTAATCTCTGCTTCCAAAAGCTTAACGAAATCTTTCATTTCCTTGGTCACGTTCCCTTCGCCCGACTGATCATCTCCCAACAATCTGCGCATCTTGGTCGGCCTCTCGCCGCCGTCATCCACAACACACCTCGCAGATTCCTCCATGGGAGAGATGGAATTGAGCTCCTTCTTCAAATCTTTGTATGATATGAACTTGTCCTGCCAATTGGGGAACATTTCATCGAGCAATTTCCTCAGAATCTTCCAAAACTTCATATTTGTGTATGTGGGTAGGAGTAGAAGGAGATTTGCAGTGTGATTGCCTGTACATACATATATGCATGTCTGTGAATGTGAAAATAGAAGAAAGGAATATTCGGATGGATTGATGAAGAAGACGGGAATATGCGAATATCCGAAGAGAACATCATATTTTCCCTTATTTATTTATTATATTCCTTTGGTTTGATCGTTTGTGGTTATTGCCTATTGGGGTTCGGCTTATTTGCAATGAGACCCCTCGCTTTGTTGGGAATTGTCATATTCTCTAGAAATAATAAATTAACAATATTAATTATACTTGCAGCCTCTTACTTATCTGAACTCGACATGATGAGGCTCTTCTTCTCTATGGCCTATGCCATGCGCTTCTATTTATTTGGATCTGCAGATACATATTTTATGAAGTGGAGTGAGAAGCTAATAATATTGTAGCATAACATAAGTGGTTATAGAATAAAAATGGCATTGGAATAAAGTTTGATAATCATAAATACTACAGAAAGCTTGCAACTACACAAGCAATCAAGAATTGAAGATATCTTCATCCATCCATATCTTATTATAAATAAAACATTTTTATTTATGTATGCAAGTTAGAGTGAAATGAGAATGTATTTGTGTTCATTATTATTATTATTTATTTATTATTATTATTATTCCCTCTTTTAATTAGCATGGGAACACAATGCATATATGCCATCCTTTATTTCTGCTTATATTCTGCAGGACCACCTTATGTTTGTCCAGGAAAACTTTGCATCTGTTCCAAAAGGCAAAAGCACAACTATTTTTTTTTTTTTTTCTTTTTTCCCCTCTTTGTTTTGTACTTTCTTTTCTTTATTATTTGTTGAAAAAGTTTCCCATGGTCGAGCTTCACATCCGCCGATTCTAGTTGGAACCTGAACAAAAAAAAAAACTTTAACTAACAGAATTGATTTAAAAAAAAAAAAAAGAAAAATAAGAAAAATTTACCCCCCAAGCAAAGCTATCATCTTTGCTTACCAACTGATCCCATTAGACTTGCAAGTTATCCCATGTTAAATTCCTAGTCCATTTGTTAGTTTATTACTACCTTATCCCTCATTCATCCAATATGTCCTGCTTTGTGCAACCCATTTCTTGAGTCACAAGGCTGATGAAACCCAGCAATGCAGCAATAGTATATATATATATATATATATATATTGTTGTTGTTAACAAACATGCATGATTGAGTGCAATGCAGCAAGTCTCAAACTCAATTTGCAAGATATGTCTTGCTTCCTATAAAGGTCAATCTTTAGAATATTCTTCAATAGGGCTATATATATTTCTCCCCTTAGCCCACAACATGATGTCTTTTAATCCATCAAAAAGTTTCTTCATTTATTAATCACCATCTGTAGAAATTAGAATATCAATTTCATCCTTGAGGCTCACTGTTCGTATCATCAATTTTTATAGTGTGTAAGGGTGAGGAAACAATTGATAATCGTCCTGCAGTGTGCACGTCTGTGTGTTCGGTGGTGTTCACATAGTACTCCAAAGATTTTTTTTTTTTTTTTTATCATTCAACATTTTCTTCCAAGTGCTTGTCAGGTAAGAAATGGCTCCACATTTGCTTCACGGGACGTTGCATGCAACCATATATGAAGCCGACGAATTACAGGGTGGATTCAATTTTGGGTTATGCAGCACGGTATACTATTTTCTTATCACCGAGTAGTGATTACTATACAACTAAAAACTTCACCATTACTATTGTTGTTGTTATCGTCGTCTCTAAGAACATGCTATGTGTCACATAGAGAAAAAGAGAGAGAAACAAGATATTAACCGGTAGCGCTTTCTTTTGGTGTTTTTCTCGTTATGGCCCTCGGCTTTCAAGGCTGGTTTCTACCCACAAAACAGGAGCAAAAAATTCTTATCACAACTCAAGAGATTTGTGTTCTGCCGCCCAGAGGTAAATTTTGATCTGCAATAATATTTTACCATTAATCCCTTTTATGCTGTGTGTAACTATTTAAACTGGTCATTTTGAAAGTGAAGCCTTGTGTCTCTTCTTACACCTAAATATATACTTTGTAACTGCTTATAATCATGGTGCATGGCATGCTGATGAATATATGTAAACTTGCGAGCCAGGTCGTCGGCTCCCGGCTGTATGCAACCATCGACCTAGAAAGGGCCCGAGTCGGCAGAACACGAGTTATCCAAAACGAGCCATCTAATCCCCGTTGGTATGAAGAATTTCACATATACTGTGCCCACACAGTCTCCAACATCGTCTTCACTGTCAAAGACGGCAACCCGATCGGAGCCACCTTGATCGGGCGGGCCTACCTTCCGGTCGAGGAAATTATGGCCGGCCACATGGTGGACAGGTGGATCGACATCCTAGACGAGGACCACAATCCCATCCACGAAAACTCCAAGATCCACGTCAAACTGTTGTACGTCAAGGTCACTCAGGAGACGAACTGGTCGGGAGGCCTTAGAGCCCCATCCTTTGCCGGCGTGCCCTACACGTTCTTCAGGCAAAGGCCCGGCTGTCGGGTCACCCTCTACCCGGACGCTCACGTGCCGGACGACAGCATCACGAAATATCTCGAGTCGGAGGGGTATTACGAGCCGGGTAGATGCTGGGAGGATATATTCGACGCGATCACCAATGCCAAGCACTTGATATACATAACCGGGTGGTCCGTGTACACGAGGATCACCCTGGTGCGGGACCCGCAGAGGCGGAGGAGTCCCGCAACTCTTGGCGAACTACTGATTAAGAAGGCGAATGAAGGGGTCAATGTGTTGATGCTCGTGTGGGACGACCGAACGTCCGTTCTGGATTTCAAGAAAGACGGCCTAATGGCGACCCATGATCAGGAGACCAAGGCGTTTTTCGAGGGCACGAGGGTTCGGTGCATGTTGTGCCCTCGTAATCCAGATGGTGGGGCCAGCATCTTGCAGGGATTCGAGGTTTCGACCATGTTCACTCATCATCAAAAGACGATCGTGGTCGACAGCCAACGGACCTCGGGAGGGAAGAGACGCATCGTAAGTTTCTTGGGTGGGATCGACCTTTGCAACGGGCGTTACGACACGAGGGGTCACTCCCTTTTCCGGACATTGGATTCGGTTCACCGGGACGATTTCCACCAGCCCAACTTCCCGAGCTCGTCTGTTGCTAAGGGAGGGCCGAGAGAGCCGTGGCACGACATCCACTGCAGGGTCGAGGGGCCGGCCGCCTGGGACGTGCTCTACAATTTCGAGCAGAGGTGGGCTAAGCAGGTGGGCAACAAGTTCATATTCTCCATGAACGAGCTCTACAGGTTTATTGTCCGTCCGGAAGAAGCTATCTCCCCGGACGACCCAGAGAGGTGGAGTGTCCAGATATTTCGATCAATCGACGGTGGGGCTACCGCCGGATTCCCAGAGAAGCCGGAGGAGGCGGCGGCATTGGGGCTCGTGAGCGGGAAGGACAATGTGATCGATCAGAGCATACAGGACGCGTACATCCATGCAATTCGTCGGGCGAGGAACTTCATATACATTGAGAATCAGTATTTCATAGGGAGCTCCTTCGACTGGAGGAGAAAGGCTGACGACATTACGATCGAGGACATAAACGCGCTGCACCTGGTGCCCAAGGAGCTGTCGCTTAAGATTGCTAGTAAGATACGTGCAGGGGAGAGGTTCACGGTGTACGTGGTGATCCCGATGTGGCCGGAGGGGATACCGGAGAGCGGCTCAGTTCAGGCGATTCTCGACTGGCAGAGGAGGACGATGGAGATGATGTATGCCGATATTGCAAAGGCAGTAGGGGAGAAGGGACTTCATGGAGTGGATCTCAGGGAGTATCTGACCTTTTTCTGCCTTGGCAATAGGGAGGTTAAGAAGGCAGGGGAGTATGAGCCGCCGGCTGGGCCTGATCCTAATACGGATTACCATAGAGCTCAACAGTCGAGACGGTTCATGATATACGTTCATTCCAAAATGATGATCGGTGAGCACACGCATATGGATTAGAATAATGCTATATGTATCTCCCCCCTTACACCTTGGTGTACATCCAAGGGGTGGACGTACATTTTTACCCTTAATGAATAATTTATTAAACTATTCATTAAGGGTAAAAATGTATCTCCACCCCTTGGATGTACACCAAGGTGTAAGGGGGGAGGTACATGTAGCATTGATGGGGATTAACCATTTTTCTTCTTCTTTTCTTCTTCTTCTTCTTCTTCTTTTTTTATTATTATTCGTTATTCACCAATGTTGGCAATGCTTAAAAGTTAAATCATGACTTCTTCCTTTTAAAATCTTATTAACAACTTGTTGGGTGCAACTGTAAGTGGATGATGAATACATAATCATCGGGTCAGCCAACATCAATCAAAGATCGATGGACGGTGGAAGGGACTCAGAGATTGCAATGGGTGGGTTCCAACCAGGCCACCTGGCCAGTAACAATAGGGCAGCAGCAGCATCAGCAAGGGGTCAAATATTCGGCCTCCGAATGGCCCTATGGAGTGAGCACCTTTTACGCGAGGATGACACGTTTCTTGATCCAGGGAGCCTTGAGTGCGTGCGGACTGTGAATGCAATTGCCGATGAGAGTTGGAAGTTGTACTCGAGCGACACGTTTGAGGAGGACCTTCCGGGCCATCTTCTTAGCTACCCCGTTCATGTGTCGAGCAATGGCGAGATTGGGGTGCTCCCAGGGTTCGAGTTTTTCCCGGATACCAAAGCACGAGTGCTCGGGACTAAATCGGAGTATCTTCCTCCCATACTCACTACGTGATGATGGATTGGTGTGATGATGGTTGTTGGTTTGGTTCAATAATGGTGCATTATAGTTTGTTTGTTTGTTAGTTTGTTTGTTTGAGAGGAAGAAGTTGAAATAAGATAAGATACGCGTCTCGGTTTGTTTAACATCCCTCTCTAACTGGTCGATGTTCAATGTACGGAGTTTCTGTTTTGGACAGACATTTTTATAGGTTGATGAATTTGTCAAAGGAAAATCAATTAGCCTAAATTGGTGATCCTTTTCAAAGCATTCACTATATACAGAAACTAATGTGAGGTAATCGATTGGAAAAATATGATTCTGCAGGTTAAAAGTATGACTTTTGTTTGAAAAAATCACACTTTTTTAACAAGACTTATATCAATTGATTGCTGTCAAATAACATTAGTATTTTAATTATATTGTGGAAATGCAATGCATAAAACAATACAAGTAAACAGATATAAAATAAACATATATATTGATCACGGTTGGAAACATGAAAACCATGGGCGAAGCGAAACCACCACTACATATACAAACATAATATGTTTAATTCAATTAAAAAAAAATTTTAATATATGTCGTTTGAAAAGTTGCACACTAATTAAGAATATTTTTTTGTCAATAATAATCTTATTTAATGAAGATAGAGATAAATGTTTTGAGAAAAAGTGAAGAGTGAATATGAGAAGATCGTAATATATTTATTAGCTAAATTAGGGTAATGATAAAAAAAATATGTACAAAAGATCCAAAACGACATTTATTTAGTTAATAGTTGATAAAACTAGAATGGCATTTTTAAAAAAAAGGAGAGAGTATATATTTCCATCCAATAAGATACAGAAAAATCACGGATTAAGCGAGCATCTCCAGTGTGTAATATTGTAAGTGAATTAATTTTGCCATGTGTCAATTAAAGAAAGGTTGAGTGAATCTACATCACATGGATGTTGAGTCCACAACTTCTAAAATTTTAAGTGTTCCTCAATGCATGAATAACTCCTAAATAATATGGGCTTTTTTAAAATTTTTTATTTTTGGCTCAAATATTCAATAAGCCCAAATTTTGGGCCCCTTTTTGTACAAAGAAAAATTAACAATCTACTAAACACCACATAAAATAAAAACAAATTAATATAAAATCAATATAGTGATTAGTGAAGCTTTGGCGGCTTTGCTACTCAGGTCTTCAAATTCAGATTGATTTGCGCATGTCTTCTAATTTGAAACTTGAGTTGCACATAAGCTATGGTATATGCACATGACGCAAGTGAATTTCAGTTCAAATTCCATTTTCTAGAAAAAAATTCAAAAAAGAATAAGCACATAACGCATGTAACCCCAAACATAATCATTTACCTAATCACTGGCAAATAGTTAAAACCTCAGTAAGGTAATTTTACATCTTGCATTTCAAATTACCTGAACAATGATACTTGTTATTATGTAGTTCCAACTTCTAACCATTAAACCAACATTATCCTTTCACATATTTGTAGACTTTCTTACAATATGTCACACTTTCAACATCATAAATAGAGCTTTGACATGTTATAATATAATATGCAATTTTGTCACAGGTTGACTCGTCTAACAACAATTAGTCTATCTCACAACTGAACCTTAACATCACTAATGATAATTTTACGGGTAAACTATTCAAGATTAATCAAAATGCAAACACCCTATTAGAACACACAGATTAAACTCATATGCCACTACAAATGCTTCAATATACCAAACAAATAACAATTTCCATTTTGAGGAAAAACAAAAGGGTTCTTAGAAACCACATCTCCAATAATAAAAACCCATTCCAGAATAGCTTTCATTCCAAATTTACGAGTCATCTACGATACCAATTAATCCGGCAGAGAAAAAAAAAAAAACAAAAAAGAGAGAACTTCATAGTTTTACCAAGAAAAAGCAAGGTACAAAGAAGAAAAAAAATTAAGAACCTGTAAAAGACAGAGTTGTCCGTCTAAGAACTTGCAAACATGGAAATCAAGTATTGAAATTGTTATTAGCTAAAACTATCCACCCTTAATGAGTGATGGTTTCTTGATAGTATATATGAGTGATTTTTTCTTTGTGATTCTTTATTTATTTTGTTAAAATTATATCTCTGTCACAACTCACAAGTATTTCATGGGGCTGGTAATGATGTTCTTTGGCTGCAAACAGATTTCAACATATATGTTGTCAATATATTTGATACAGTGAAGGTAAATAATATGTACTATATTGTCCAATTGATGTTTATCTCTATTCTGATTCTTTACCTTGGTTCAGAATTCATAATATAATAATTGTAAACTTAGCTAACGAGAATAAAACAAAAGGATTCATCATATTTGCCTTTTGATTTCAATAAACACAGAAAAAAATCAAATCGAAATTAGAAAATTACACATTAAATCGAGAATCGTGAGCTGGGTTTCCACGGAAATTCACTATTGTATAAAACTCATATGCATAAATATTTGAACATTTTCATTCAACTAAATTCAAATCAAATCAACCAAATCCTACAATAATTTAACATCATCCGTGAAAAAAGAAAAATAAAAAGTGAATCTGTATACAGAATGAAGAAAGAAAGAGACTCGCGTACCAGAAACTTTTTGTTGAATCCGCAATTGTATTTTCCCGGCGAAGTAATTCTCAGCAAAGTAGTCCGTAATTGTATTTTCCCTCAAAATTTTTCCCTCAAATATTTGACGATTTTCAGAATTTTATTTGTCTCTTCTCCCCAAATCTGGAGGGAATTAGTTCAAATAGCCTAACCTACATGACTATTTGTTTAAATGACCCTTGACCCAAAATAAAAAACAAAACTTAATGAAAAATAAAATTTATAAGACAATCCCTTTTTTACCCTCACTTGTATTGTCTTCAATAACTTGGGACTTAGAAAAAAAAACGGCACAATCGATCGATCTCATTCTGCTCTCTCTCTCGCGACGCACCTCTCAACTCTCTCTCCCGCGACGACATCAACATCTCTCTCTCTCTCCCTCGCGACGTCTCTCTCTGTGACACCCGACCCTATGGAGCTCTCTCTCGTCAACTTCGGTACGTATATTTTCAGTTTTTGTCAATTTTTTCTTTTATTTAATTTTCATCTTTTTGAGCCTTTGATATTTTTGGAGTAAGATTTAATATGTGTGATGTGAATTCATGTAATTTTGCTAGTTTTGATGGAATTGAAGATGATAAATTTGTGCACGCTATATGTTTGATGAAATGCTTGAGTTAAAGAAATGAAGATAGTAAAAGGTGCACTCAATGTGTTTGATGAAATGTTTGATATGCTACTTGTTGTATACATGGAAGCAATGAAGCTATCTTCGTTATATTTTACACTAAAACGAATATACACTCGTTATTATGAGATAACAATAGTTAATTCTTTTTAGAATATGAGGGAATCCATTAAAAATAACTTAAATTATGACTATAACGAGTAAAATATCGCTATAATGTATGAAATAGCGAAAGTATAGGTGTATTTAATCGATCGAGATGGAAATATAAATTCGTTATGTTGAAAATCATGATGAATTTACTCTCTTTATGGCTATTTTGATTGAATGGAGTGTTAACGATTCTATATTCGTTATATATGACATTAGGATGATAGTTTGAACTCGTTAGATAAAAATGATGAGTAATGAAGTTGAAGATCATTTACTTCAATGACTAAAGTTGAATCGTTATAGTTTGTATTCGATCAAAAAATAACCATAACGAAAATAACAATCGTTAAAGTAGAATCGTTTATTAGTTATGTTGAAAATCATAACCAATATGTGTGTTATTGATATATGAATGTTGTACTTCTTACATTCAAAATATAAAAATGTGCATGTGATTGTTGTGACTTATGATTGATGTTGTACTTTTTAATTTATGACATATGTTGTCTTTTTTCTATACTTTTAGGAACCGAAATGGAGTATATTTTGACCATGTTATGTATTTTCTTGCCTTCAAAATTATATGAGTTGTTGCTGAGGTTTGGGGTGTAAAGAGGGGTGTAACACCCCGCTTATCAGAGTAAATTTTTCGCAACTTTTACTTCGAAACTATTTATAACTTTTTCGAAATCTTTTGCAACTAACTCGGGATGCTACTCAACTTATCTTCTTGAAAATCTGTTTCTCTTTAAACTATCATTTAATACTTCACTGAAACATAAAAACAGATTTCATTTAAACTTGCATTTAAAATACATAATCATAATTATCATAATTTTTAAAACAATAAATCTAAAATTCCTTAAAATGCAAGTTCAATAATTAATGTGCGTAGCGGAAATACTTGAAACGTGGTTACATATACAAACTTTTATAAATGTCCATATTAAAGCTTATCTTCATCTGCATCCACGATCCACACCAACACAGCTCCACTCACACCTCCTTGTTAACCTGTTACCTGAAACTAAAACTCATGGGGGTGAGTAACGAATATGGATAATCATAAACTAGTTTATGATCGGTAACTTAAACTTTCATTTCTCTGGCCGATGGTTAATCGGATACGTGTGCACACTCTGATGGATATTTCTCAGGCCCGTCTAGCCTCCATCAGAACTTAGGATATAATCTTTGAGACAATTTAATGCCTCCTTATCCCAAGCGTAATAAACATTAAACTTCGGGATATAACTTTTGAGACAACTGATGATCTCCTCATCCCATATCACATATCGTACTCAATGTGATACCCATTCAGGGTCCCCACCTTTTCATCTTTGAAATCGTTTGTAACTCAATAAGTGTTGTACTGGTACTGTATCTGCAAGTTAAATCAAATATAGACAAATATACTAAGTACTATGCTCGTATACTCAATAAGTTCTTTAGGATTATTAACTTATCCCATTCTTAAACTTGCTTATTCTCAAGTTTATACTTAACTTCACTTTTTACTTTTACTCAAGTTAATTACTTAACCTTATAAAATATATCTTCTTAAACATCAATATGTTTCATAACATGCCA